TTGGGGGGGTTTGGAGACGTTTTGGGTGTTTTTTTGGTGGTTTTGGGGACATTTTGGGTGGTTTGGGGACATTTTGGGTGGGTTTGGGTGAGTTTGGGACATTTTGGGTGGATTTGGGGACATTTTGGGTGGGTTTGGGTGGGTTTGGAACATTTGGGGTGGATTTGGGGACATTTTGGGTGGTTTTGGGACATTTTGGGTGGTTTTGGGACATTTTGGGTGGTTTTGGGACATTTTGGGTGGTTTTGGGACATTCTGGGTGGGTTTGGGGGGGTTTTGGGACATTTTGGGTAGGTTTAGGTGGGTTTGGGTGGGTCTGGGTTGGTTTTGGGACATTTTGGGTTGGTTTGAGAGGACTGGAGACATTTTGGGACATTTTGGGTGGGTTTGGGAGATTTGGGATGGGTTTTGGGTGGATTTTGGGTGGTTTTGGGACATTTTGGGTGGGTTTGGATTGGTTTGGGTGGGTTTGGGATATTTTGGGTGGGTTTGGAACATTTGGGGTGGATTTGGGGACATTTTGGGTGGTTTGGGGACATTTTGGGTGGGTTTCAGACATTTTGGGTGGGGTTTGGGTGGGTTTGGGTGGGTTTGGGTTGGTTTTGGGACATTTTGGGTGATTTTGGGGACATTTTGGGTGGGTTTTGGGTGGTTTTGGGTTGGTTTGGGACATTTTGGGTGGGTTTGGGTTGGTTTGGGGACGTTTTAGGTGGTTTTGGGTGGGTTTGGGACATTTTGGGTGGGTTTGGGTTGGTTTTGATGACCCCTGACCCCTCCCTGACCCCCGGCTGACCCCTGGCTGACCCCTGACCCCCGTCTGACCCCTGACCCCTGACCCCCGGCTGACCCCTGACCCCCGGCTCACCCCAGCGCCGCCGCGCGGCCGCAAAGGGAAAAAGTCTCCGAAGGTTCCGGAAGCGCCGGCGGCCGAGTGGCTCCTGCAGGACGAGGCCTTCCGCAAGCACCTGCGCCACCAGGCCGGAAAGTGAGGCAAAAACGGCGATTTTGGGCCATTTTGGGGTTATTTCGGGGGATTTTGGGTCATTTTGTGAAATTTGGGTTTTTTGGGGTAATTTTGGGGGTTTTTGGGTTTGTTTTTGGGGTTGTTCCCCTGGGGTTTGCCCTTCCACAAGCACCTGCGCCACCAGGCCGGAAAGTGAGGCAAAAAATGCCATTTTGGGCCATTTTGGGTCGTTTTGGGGCATTTTGTGAAATTTGGGATTTTTGGGGTTTTTGGGATTGTTTTTGGGGTTGTTTTTGGGGTCGTTCCTGGGGTTTGGCCTTCCTCAAGCACCTGCGGCACCAGGCTGGAAAGTGAGGCAAAAAAACGGGATTTTGGGCCATTTTGGGTCGTTTTGGTGATTTTGGGTCATTTTGTGAAATTTGGGGTTTTTGGGGTAATTTTGGGGGATTTTGGGTTTGTTTTTGGGATTGTTTTTGGGGTCGTTCCTGGGGTTTGGCCTTCCGCAAGCACCTGCACCACCAGGCCGGAAAGTGAGGCAAAAAAACAACATTTTGGGCCATTTTGGGTCGTTTTGGGGGATTTTGGGTCATTCTTGGAGATTTTGGGGTAATTTTTGGGGATTTGGGGTCATTTTTGGGGATTTTTGGTTGGTTTTGGGGCATTTTGGGTCATTTTGTGGGATTTGGGGTTTTTGGGGTCATTCCATGACCTGTCCCTGTGTCTGTGTGTCCCTGTGTCCATCCCGTGTCCATCCGTGTCTCCGTCCCGTGTCCGTGTGTCCATCCCATGACTGCATGTCCATCCGTGTGTCCGTGTGTCTGTGTGTCTGTCCCGTGTCCGGTGTCCGTGTGTCCATCCGTGTGTCCGTGTGTCCATCCGTGTCCATCCCGTGTCCCGTGTCCATCCCGTGTCCATGTGTCCATCCCATGTCCGTGTCTGTGTCCGTGTGTCCATCCCGTGTCCATCCCGTGTCCATCTCGTGTCCATCCTGTGTCCCGTGTCCATGTCTGTGTCCCGTGCCCATCCCGTGTCCGTGTGTCCATCCCGTGTCCATCCCGTGTCCGTGTGTCCATCCCATGTCCGTGTCCGTGTCTGTGTCCCGTGTCCATCCCGTGTCCATCCCGTGTCCATCCCGTGTCCATCCCGTGTCCGTGTCCGTGTGTCCGTGCGTGTCCACGCGTGTCCATGCGTGTCCAGGCTGCTGCACCGCCTGCGGGCGCTGCACGTTCTGCGCCACGACGTCATCGGCGCCGCGGCCGAGCGCGTCCTGGCCGGCGCCAGCGCCAGGTGAGCCGATTTTGGGGACAGATCCCGGGGTTTTGGGCAAATCCGGGATTGGGGACGGATCCCGGGATTTTGGGCAATTCCGGGATTGGGGACAATTCCCGCGGGTTTGAGCAAATCCGGGATTGGGGACGGATCCCGGGATTTTGGGCAAATCCGGGATTGGGGACAAATCCTGCGGGTTTGGGGACGATTCCCGGGGTTTTGGGCAAATCCGGGATTGGGGACAATTCCCCGGATTTGGGGACAATTCCCGCAATTTTGGGACAATTCCCGGGATTTGGGGACAATTCCCGCAATTTTGGGACAATTCCCGGGATTTGGGGACAATTCCCACGATTTGGGGCAATTCCCACGGTTTTGGGGACAATTCCTGGGGTTCGGGGAGAATTCCCACGATTTGGGGACAATTCCCCCAATTTTGGGACAATTCCCGGGGTTTGGGGGACAATTCTCACGATTTTGGGCAATTCCCGGGGTTTGGGACATTTTTGGGGTCGTTCTCCCCGTTTTCAGGGTCCCCGATCCCGATTTCGGGGTCCCCGATCCCGATTTTGGGATCATTTTCCCCATTTTTGGGGTCGTTTTCCCCGATTTTGGGCTCCCTCTCCCCATTTTCGGGGTCCCCAATCCCGATTTTGGGGTCGTTCTCCCCGATTTCAGGCTCCCTCTCCCCGATTTCAGGCTCCCCGATCCCGATTTCGGGGTCCCTCTCCCCGATTTCGGGGTCCCCGATCCCAATTTTGGGGTCGTTCTCCCCAATTCTGGGGTCCCTCTCCCCATTTTCAAGGTCCCCAGTCCCGATTTTGGGATCATTTTCCCCGATTTTGGGGTCGTTCTCCCCATTTTTGGGCTCCCTCTCCCCATTTTCGGGGTCCCCAATCCCGATTTCGGGCTCCCTCTCCCCAATTTCGGGGTCCCTCTCCCCATTTTCGGGGTCCCTCTCCCCATTTTCGGGGTCCCTCTCCCCATTTTCGGGGTCCCTGATCCCGATTTCGGGCTCCCTCTCCCCATTTTCGGGCTCCCTCTCCCCGATTTCGGGCTCCCTCTCCCCGATTTCGGGCTCCCTCTCCCCATTTTCGGGGTCCCTCTCCCCGATTTCGGGGTCCCTCTCCCCGATTTCGGGGTCCCTGACCCCAAATTCGGGGCCCAGCGAGGTGCAGATCAGCTTCCCGCTGCTGGAGCCGCTGGAGGTGCCCGAGGCCTGGTGGGACCCCGAGGCCGACAAGTCGCTGCTCATCGGGGTCTTCAAGCACGGTGCGAAATTTGGGCCATTTTGGGCCTTTTTGGTCATTTCGGGAGTTTGGGGAATTTTGGGGATTTTTGGGGAATTTTTAGAGGGGTGCACGGTGCAGTTTTGGGGCGGTTTCCCCGAATTTTGCCGTTTTTCGGGGGGGTTTTATTGTATTTATTTTATTTTTTTTGGCACCTTCGGGTGGGTTTTGGGGGAATTTTCTGGAATTTTGGGGATTTTTTGGGGGGCATTCAAACGGTTTTGGGTTCAATTGCTGAATTTTGGGGGTTTTTGGGGCGTTTTTTGGGGTTTTTACCCCTTTTTTGTGGTGTTTGGGTGGTTTGGCTTATTTCAGTGAGTTTTGGGGTTATTTTGGGTTATTCTTTTGGGATTTTTGCCATTTTTTTGCCGTTTTTTACCGTTTTTTGGGGTTTTTTTTGCCATTTTTTGCAGTTTTTGTTAACAGACTCCATTTTTGGGGTGAATTGGGGGGATTTAGGGTACGAGCGGTACCACACCGTGGGCACCGACCATAACCTGTATTTTGGGGTTATTTTCGCCATATTTTGGCCTATTTTCACGGGGTTTTTTGCCGTTTTTTTGCCGTTTTTTGCCGTTTTTTGCCGTTTTTGTTAACCGAGTGTTTTTTTGGGGTGAATTGGGGGGATTTAGGGTACGAGCGGTACCACACCACGGCCACCGACCATAACCTGTATTTTGGGTTATTTTGGGGTTATTTTCACCATACTTTGGGCTATTTTCACGGGGTTTTTTGCCATTTTTTTGCCGTTTTTTGCCGTTTTTTGCAGTTTTTGTTAATGGACTCCATTTTTGGGGTGAATTGGGGGGATTTAGGGTACGAGCGGTACCACACCGTGGGCACCAACCATAATCTGTATTTTGGGGTTATTTTCACCATATTTTGGCCTATTTTCATGGGGTTTTTTGCCATTTTTTTGCCGTTTTTTGCCGTTTTTTGCCATTTTTGTTAACCGAGTGTTTTTTTGGGGTGAATTGGGGGGATTTAGGGTACGAGCGGTACCACACCATGCGCGCCGACCCCGCCCTGTGTTTCCTGGCCAAGGCCGGCGGCCCCGACGCTTCGGCCGTGGCGGCCGAGCAGCGGCTGGAGGGGCCCGAGGGGTGAGCGGGGACCCCAATTTGGGGCCATTTGGGCCATTTTGGGCCATTTTGGGGCAATTTGGGCAATTTGGGAGGTTCGGGGCGGTTCTGGGCGGTTTTTTTGGGGGGTTTTGGGGGGTTTTGGGGTGGTTTTGGTGGTTTTTTTGGGGGTGGGTTGGGAGGATTTTGGGGGGGGTTGAGAGGTTTGGGGTGATTTTTTGGGGAATTTGGGCAATTTTGGAGAGTTTGGGTAGTTTTTTGGGGTATTTTAGAGGGTTTGGGGTGGTTTTGGGGGATTTTGGAGATTTTGGAATGATTTTGGGGGGATTTGGGGCAGTTTTGATGGATCTGGGTGATTTTTGGAGGATTTGGGGCAATTTTGGTGGATCTGGGGTGATTTTGGGGAATTTGGGGCAGTTTTGGAGATTTTGGGGGGATTTTGGGGCATTTTGGGTGGTTTGGGGTGATTTTTGAGGGTTTTGGGCTGGTTTGGGGGATTTTTGGCCTCTTTGGGTGTTTTTGGGGAATTTGGGGCTGGTTTTGGGGCTGTTTTGGGGGATTTTGGGGCTGTTTTTTGGGGCTGTTTTTGTGGATTTTTGGATGGTTTTTGGGGCTGTTTTTTGGGATTTTGGGGCCGTTTCGGCCCTTTTGACCAACCCCGCCTTCGCGGCCATCCCGCCCCCCCCAGAATCCCCAAATTTGGGTTTTTCCCCCCAAAACGGCGCCGCTGATGACCCAGCCATGCTAATACCGACCGGCCCCGGCCGGGCTGAGTGCAGCTCCGGGCTGAGGCGCAACGTTTTGGGGCGAATTCGGGAGATTTTGGGTGAATTCGGGAGGTTTGGGGTGAATTCGGGAGATTTTGGGGTGAATTCGGGCAGTTTTGGGTGAATTTGGGAGATTTTGGGTGAATTTGGGAGATTTTGGGATGAATTTGGGCAGTTTTCGGTGAATTTTGGAGGTTTGGGGTGAATTTGGGCATTTTTGGGTAAATTTGGGAGATTTTGCATGAATTTGGGCAGTTTTGGGTGAATTCGGGAGGTTTTGGATGATTTTGGGCAGTTTTGGGGTGAATTCGGGAGATTTTGGATGATTTTCGGCAGTTTTGGGGTGAATTTGGGCAGTTTTGGGGCCGATTCCCGCGGGTTTGGGGCCGGGGTGAATTCGGGCAGTTTTGGGGTGAATTCGGGAGG